ACAAACAGGTTTGTCCTGGAGAGGGTGAAGCCAGAATGTTTCCTGGAGTCAAGGATTCTGAAGCTTCATCTGACATACTTTGGACATGTTGCAAGGAGGGACCTTTGGAGAGGGACATCATGTTTGGAAGAGTGGAGGGACCGTGCAGGAGAAGAAGACTCTTGATGAGATGGATCTGTTCAGTGATTGGGGTAATGTTGGAGACAGTGAGGTTGGCACAGGATAGAGCACAGGATAGAGCAGGGTTTAGGGCTCTTGTACATAGGGCATATAACAATAAACAACATTAGATATCATTCATTTTTAACATTGTCTTTCCTATTTCATGTGAAAAGTACTGAAATCATAAAACCAAAAGTCTGTATGTAACTTAAGCAGGCTGTACCCATATTTATGTTCACCTTTGGCCTTGCTGCTCAGCCAGGATGTGACCTGGTAAAGTCACTTCACTCTCCTGAACCTCAGTTTTAATAAAGTGGGGATTTAGGTTAAGATCTTGAAATTCTATTCTCACCTCAGAAATGCAATGTGTTCTATGACTAGGGCATTTGCTTATATGACCATAATGGGGCCATTTTTATAGTATATTTTTTTAGACCTCATATTTTCTAATTTCCTAATTTTTAAGACTTATAAAATGGAAACCATGTTAAGCCAATAATAGAAAATGACTAATATTTACTTAATAATAACTTGGAAATCAGGATAACATTTTCTTATTAGAGAGTCAAAAATGTTTCAAAGAAAAGTCAATGATTCTTGTCCCTCATCTTATTGCTAATAATTTTGTATGACCAAGAACTCAGTGCTGGTGAGTCTATCTCAGCTTTTAGTAATACTATCAGGAAGAGTAGAACTACCCCATAGGGTTTCTAAAACGGATCTTTATGGGAGCAGACTACCACATCTATCTCCTTTGGAGCAGGTGGTGGATATGAACTACTGACCTTTTGGTTAACAACCTTTTGTTTTAACATCTTTGTCAGAGGGTTCCTGTTATTCAGTAAGAGTTTGTTATAAAATCACAACTTCTGGTATGACCTTTGGAGTTACTGTTTTGTAAACTGCAGTAGATTGTTTGAAGGAACATAGTGCTCAAAGCAAACTAGTCTTTGCCAACTAAGTGAAATTGTTATTTGGGTTAAAGTTGACTCTTAGGAAACCAGTTTTTGTATGGTTCAAGGTCCAAAGATCAACTGAGGGCAGTAGATAAAGAGTCTAGAATCCAGAAACTTGAATTCCATGAGAATGAAAAACGTCTCAGTTTTTAAAATTTGTTTTTGATGACATTTATTTAGATTTCTGTTTTGTTTCTTAAAATTAGGAATATGTTTTACCTGTTTACTTTGGCAAAGGTGATGTTTCTGCTACTTTGTGAATTTTAATATTAATAATGAAATAAAAAGCTGGCTCTGAGTTTTCACTTTTCTGAATTCCCTCATAATTTTAAAACTTAATGGTGATTTACCTCTAATCTTCTTAAGTGAAAAAATGTGGAGTTCTTCAGAATGTCCCAAGAGATCCTCTGGTAGTAAATCGAGAAGAGAAATTGAAACTACTTGAAGGATTTCTGCAAAATCATTTCTACTGTTACAGAGAAATTACAAATTAATATAAGCATATTCATGTGTCTTAAAAGGGAGTGCTTTGAATCCTAGACAACCAAAGAATAATAAATACCAGGGAGCTGTGGTGGCCTAGTGGCAGGAAACTTCACTGCAATCCCAAGGGTGCTTGGTTCAAATTCTCTAGATGCTGTGCTAGAGAAGAAGGGCCAATCCCTTCCTGTGCCAGTTGGATCCGATTCGAAGGTACACAACAAAGAAAAAAATTAAAAAAAAAAAATTATGCCAGAAAAGTATTTTTTATCTTGTATTTTTATTTCATATTTAAGGGAAAAATGGCAATCCAGTAGCAGAGAATTTCCGCACAGAAGAAGTCACATTGCCAGATGATGTCACAGAAGGACAAGTAAAGATTAGAACTCTTTATCTTTCCGTGGATCCTTATATGGTGAGAATCAGAATTTTGTGTGACTTAGTAAAAAAAGAACTTTTTTATATTTCTCAGGTGTTTGCATCTCAAATATTATCATCTAGTGCTCATGATTAAGAAATATTTGATCAATTAAAGCTTGATGTTTATTAATAACATTTACCTTTCTAACTGGTGTTATTAAGCAGTGTTGTAGGAGGCAAAGCTTTATAATAGTGCCCGCAGTCAGTCAGGCTCCTTCAAGTGTCTTGGTCAATTCCAAGTAGTAAGTAAGCTTGAAGATAGTAAATTAGATTTGTAAGTTCTTGCAGATTCGGTTTACAAGGCTGGCTTTCTGCAAGACTTCTATTCTATATAAGACTTCTATCTAGTAGGATAACCTATAAAAATCTCCAGCCAACCTGGGCAAAGGCTGTGGCACTGACTCGGGCTCCATGGGATAGCAGTTCCAGTTCAGCTCTGTCTCCCATCATTCTCTGTTCTTCCACTCCTTCTGCTCTTATCTAGATCACAGTTTGACTCTCAGGAATTTCTAACTCAAATAAATGCACACTGTACTCTTCTTTCTTTTTAGTTGCAAGAGTCTCATTTTCTGCCTCTTATTTGTGGCTGACTTTAAGAAGAATGGGAGTCTCAGAGCATTTAACAGTGCTCATGTGGAACCTATACCTCGACCCGCAGGCTGTTGTGCAAACCAAGCAGGGGAACACTGCATGGTTTAAAATTAAGAAGTGAGTGCATCAGGGTTGTATTCTCTCTCCATACTTATTCAGTCTGTGCTGAGCAAATTATCCAAGAAGCTGGACTCTATGAAGAGGAATGTGGCATCAGAATTGGAGGGAGATTCAACAGTAACCTGTGTTATGCAGATGACACAACCTTGCTTGCTGAAACTGAGGAAGACTTGAAGCACTTGTTGCACAAGATCAAGAAATGCAACCTTCGGGATGGACTGCATCTCCATGGCAAGAAAACAAAGATACTTACCATTGGACCTATATGCAACATAATGATGGATGAGAAGAGGTTGAAACTGTCAATAACTTCATCTTACTTGGATCCACAATAACACCGATGGTACCAGCTGTCAGGAAATAAGGAGATGCATTTCACTGGGAAACTCTGCAATTAGGGACCTCCCCAAATTATTGAGGAGTAGTCAGCTCAGTTTGAGGACTAAGATGTATCTGATTTAGGCGATTGTCTTTCCAATCACTTGCTATGCATCTGAGAGCTGGACAGTGAATAAGGTTGACAGAAGAAAAATTCATGCCTTTGAGCTGTGATGTTGGAGAAGAGCACTGAACATCCATCACATGGATGGCCAAGAGAAAAATATGTCTTGGAGAGGCTGTAACCAGAGTGCTCTTTGGAGGCAAGAATGATGAGGCTTTGTCTCACAGACTTTTGGACATGTTGCTGGGAAGAGGAGAGGGTCAGCAAAATTTTGATATGGTGACTGCCATAATAGGCTCTAGTGTGTCAGGAAGTGTGAAGATGGCACATGATAGGACAGGGATGAGATCTGTTGTTCATAGGGTCGCTATGAGTCGTACTCAACTCTAGGGCACCTAAGAAGACTTGATTTAAGCCAAGTGACCAATCCCCTCTTTAGTAGACTATACACTTTGTATTTTCCCATCTGAAAGATGCTTTTAATCTCATTGACATCATTAGCACAATCCCTCCCAGCAGTGTGGTGAAAGACAAAGCGAAGGTTAGGAAAGCTGTTTTGAAAAGCTGGTATATTGCATTAGCTTTTAGAGTAATCTCCAAGAAAATAAACCTCATCAAAATAAGAAAGAGGAAAGTTATAAAGACTTCGTGATGATGAGAATGGCACAGGATAGGCCAGGTTCAGATCTATTGTTCAGAGTTGCTATGAGTCGTATTTGACTTGATGGCACCTAACAACAGCACACTGAAACAACAGAAATGAAGGAAATAAGGAAAGTCATAAACATATTTAACTCAGCACAGGAAAGTAGATGAAACAGAGAAACCAGTAACACCACAAAAGAGTATGCAGCAAAATGACAGCAATAAAACTATCAGTTTAGAATATTGTCAGTACTGAATTGAGAACTCAGAAGTAAATCCATCCACCTATAGACAGCAGCAGTTCATGGTATGTTTTGTATTCTTCTCCAGCACCACAACTCAAAGGCATCAAGTCTTCTGTCATCCTTAGTCATTGTCCAGCTCTCTTGTGCGTACATAGCATGTAACTGTAAAGACCATGGCCTTGATCAGGTGCACCTTGGTCTCTAGACTGATGTCATTGCTCCTCCGCACTCTGGTAGGTCCCTGACAGCAGACATCCCCAATGCAATTAATCTTTTGATTTCCACTGACTGCCAAGAGAACAAATAGATCTGTCTTGAAGAGGGTGAAACCAAGTTTCTCCTTTGAGGCAAGGATTTTGAAGCTCCATCTCACCTACTTTGAGCACGTGGCCAGGAGGAACCAGTCCTTGGAGAAGGACATCATGCTTGGAATGGTGAAGGGGCCGTGCAGGAGAGGAAAACCCCGGATGAGATAGATTGATAGAGTAGCTGGGGCAGTGGGAGTGTTTTGGAGTCAGTGAGACTGCTTTGGGATAGGGGAGGCTTCAGAGCTGTTGTACATAGGGTCGCTGTAAGTTGCAGGCAACTTCATGGCACATAACAACAACAACATGGACAGCTGATCCTTGACAAAGAGATGGAATCAGTTAAGTGTGGAGAAGGCAGCCTGTTTAACAAATGAGTGTAATTCTTTAAGCACAGCGGAGCCTGTGAGGATGGCACAGATGGAGTAAGAAGGCAAGTTTTTGATCAGCTTTGCATTGGATTGCTGTGAGTTGGAATCAGCTTCACTGCTGCTTCTGTGCGGGTTAACTGTGCTGGAATCTATAACCCAAATGAACCTGCGCTGTATTCTACATCTCTCTCCCTGATAGTGAGATACCCATATATCTGCTTTAAATTGAAGAATTTAAGCCTCATAATGATGGCAAAACTGCACCCAAGTAAAATGAAAGCCTTGTCAACTTTAGTATTTTCTCCATCTATTATAATGACGTTAGGGAACTCTGTTGGCCTAGTGGTAAGAAGGTATGCTGCAATCCCAAAGGCATATCGTTCAAATCCATCCTCTGCATTATGGAAGGATGGCTTCTGAAAACCAACTGGTAGGTCAGTTATGAGTTGGTTCCGACTTGACGGCACACAACAACGACTACATTATAATGTTCCTTTTGGTCCAATCGTAAGGACTTCTGTTTTCTTGTGACTTGTAGTGTAAAAAGTTTTGTTTTCTTCTTTTTTAGAGTGACAATTAACTGGAGAAGAAATTGTCTTTTTTTAAAGTTAAATTTATTATTAATTTCAGTAAAAATTTAGAGACTTTGGATTTCCATTCATTCATTGTTGCACTTTTCTCTCCTCCCAACCCTACCCCCTAGTACACTACCCTCTTGGAAAAGTAAAAGATAAATTCTTTCCTTGTTTTACAAACCCTCCCTTAGTTCCACTCCACCATGTAGCCTTCCCTCCAGACTTCTGTCATGGCAAAAATACCTAATCACATATCCCTTTTAAACAGTTTTCTCCCTCATCTGTTTCAATGCAGTATACATTATTGACCGCATCTTTCTCAGTCTCTCCCCAACCCCAAGGTCAGTCCTGTTTTACAGCAGTGGCACCATGCAGTATTCGTCCTTTTGTGACTGAGATACTTCACTCAGCATAATGTCTTCCAGAGTCACCCATTTTGAATAATATTGCATGAGTTCTTTGTTTTTCAATGCAGCATAGTATTCCATTGTGTGAATATACCACAGCTTCTCTATCCATTCGTTTGTTGATGGGCACTTAGGTTGTTTCCAACTCCTTGCTATTGTGAACAGCCGTGATAAAAATGGGTGTGCATATATCTGCTTGGATGTCAGTTATGGTCTCTTTGGGGTATATTCCCAGTAGTGGAATTGCTGGGTCAAATGGTATCTCTATTTGCAACTTTTTGAGAAAGCGCCATACCGCCTTCCACAGTGGTTGCTCCATTTTACACTCCCACCAACAGTGAATAAGGGTTCCAGTTTCTCCACAACCTCACCAGCATTTGTTGCTTGCTGTTCTGTTAAATTTTGCTATTGTTACTGGGTGAGATGTTATCTCATAGTTGGTTTTTTCCCTTTTTTTAAATGAAAGTTTACAGGGACTTAGGATTTCTATTTGTTCATTGTTGCACACTTTCCTCCCTGCCTATCCCTTTCCCCAGTTTGCTTTTCTCTGAAAAGTTAAAAAAAAAAATATCTTTCATTGTTATATAATCCTCCCCAATCCACTCCACTATGCAGCTTTCATTCTGGACTCTTGTCATGACAGTAATATGTAATCATATATTCCTCCTAAACAGTTCTGTCCCTCATCTGTTTCAATGCAGTATGTATTATATATTTCCTCTTAGTTTTCCCCCAACCATGATGTCAGCTCCATTTTACAACAGCAACACAATGTAATATTTGTCCTTTTGTGACTGAGATATTTCCCTCAGCATAAGGTCCTCTAGGGTCACCCATTTTGTATAATATTTCATGTGTTCCTTGTTTTTCAATGCAGCATAGTATTCCATTGTGTGAATATACCATAGCTTCTCTATCCATTTGTTTTTTGATGGGCACTTGGGTTGTTTCCAATTCTTTGCTATTGTGAACAAAGCTGCAATAAACATAGGTGTGCATTTATCTGCTTGACAGTTATGGTTTCTTTAGGGTATATTCCCAGTAGTGGAATTGCTGGGTCAAATGGTATTTCTACTTCCAACTTTTTGAGAAAGTGCCATACTGCCTTCTATAATAGCTGCACCATTTTATACTTCCACTAACAGTGAATAAGGGTTCCAATTTCTCTGCAACCTTTCCAGCATTTGTTATTTGCTGTTCGGTTAAATTTTGCTACTCTTACTGGGGTGAGATGATATCTCATAGTTTTTTTGAGAGAAATTTTATTCTTAACTAACTTTTATATACCTTTTAAAATTTTTAAGTCACTGGATCTATTAGTAAACTAGTTTATAGTCTTATCAGACATAATTGTCTTTTTTCTTTAATCTGTGAAATGTTCTGATTTTTAAAAATTATTATTTTAATGAAAGTTTACAGAAAAGTTACATTTTCTTTCATTCATTGTTGCACATTTTTCTCCCTACCTTATTTGTTTGTTACATAATTTCCTCCCTCTCTTCCACACTTCCTCCAGTCTACTTTGCATCTCTTATTCTAGACTATTGTCATATAACAAATGTCTTAAGCATATGTTCCTTTCAAACAGTTCTTTTCTTCATCTGTTTTAATGCCGTTTTTATTATTTATCCCCTCTTTTCTTAGTTTTCCCCAAACGCCCATGTTAGTCCTCTTTTATAACAGTGGTGTTACTCAGTATTTGTCCTTTTGTGACTGAGATACTTCACTCAGCATAATGTCCTCCAGGGTCACCATGTTGTGTAATATTTTATGAGTTCCTTGCTTTTCAGTGCTGCATAGTATATACCAAAGCTTTACATTTGTTGATGGGAGACATAATTATCTCAATCTGTATTTTCTCTTTGTTAGCGTTGTAGAATGAATGAAGACACTGGCAGTGATTATTTAACACCATGGCAGCTTTCTCAAGTGGTTGAAGGTGGCGGTGTTGGAATTATAGAAGAAAGTAAACATACAAATTTTACTAAAGGTGATTTTGTGACTTCTTTCCATTGGCCCTGGCAAACCAAGGTTATTCTGGATGGAAGTGTCCTTGAAAAGGTGATGTATAATATAAAATACTTGATGTTCCCCACCTCTATAATACTAATTTTGTTCATTTTACATTTGGTTCTGTTTGTTATCAAGGGAAAACAACAACAACAAATCTAAATGATCTTTTTCCTAGATATCAAAATGTGACAAAGCTCTCCAAACTTTGTTCTTTGAACCATTGGCTAGAACACCATATAACTATTCATAGATTGCCATGAATGGTGTAATTTTTGTAGTTAATTTATTTCTTTTTATGTGTATGATTTAAAAACCTGAGCTATACTCATCAAAAACTGGTTTTTTTGCTAAGAACCATACCTTACCCTCTGCCACTGAGTCAATTCTGACATGAATTGACCCTGGTTGGGTTATAAATCTTTATGAGAGGAAACTGCTTTATTCACATGAAACAATTGGTGGATTCAAACCGCTGGCCTTTCAATTGGTAGCACAACACATAACACGTTACGCCACCAGAGTTCCTGCGCACTCTTGCAATGGTATGCTTAAAAGTTTCTGAGAAAGAGTTGTCTGTCTTAAGAAACTTCATTTGCTGTATTATTGAAATTCCAATCTCCTATCATAAATCCTGAGTCCAGTTTCTACTATTAGGTCTGGAATTATGTAGAATTACCTATATTTGGCTAATTTTGGCCCATCAAAATGATGGTTTTCTATAATACAATCTATTCATAATAGATATTTTATCAAGAAATTTATGTCTCTGGAACTATGTGTAAAATTAAAAAAATACTGTCTCACAAGTAGATATGAAAAGGAGATAGGAGAAATGTTAAAAGGCTTGTAAGTTGTGAAAAGCTGTTTAAATGCTTCTCTCTGTTTCATACATTTTTTTTATAATGATTTTTGAGTTTTTTAAATTTTATTTAATTATTTTGTGTGTGTACCGTCAAATCAGATCTGACTGGTACAGGAGGAGATTACCCCTCCTTCTCCAGCACAGCATCTGGTGGATTCGAACAGTTCACCTCTGGTATCTCAGTGTAGCTTCTTGCCACTAGGCCACCAGAGCTCCCTTGTTTCATACATTTTTTTAAAAAGTTTTATTTTGTATTGGTTTGCTGACAGAGTGTGTATACATTGTATCCTTCATTTACATAGTGTTTTATACAATCATTCCCATTCATTATGTTTTATAAAATTAATCACAAACTCAATGATAAATCTCTCTATAATAGCAACACATATCTCCTAGGTCTATTTGCTATTAATGCCCATAGGTCAATTTGATTGTCGTAGTTGTTCAAAATATATATTGTTCATAACAATAATTGTTCAAAAATTGTTCTTGATTTTTATCTAGATATTCTTTTAGTTGCTGAGGTTAAAGTTCCAATATCTCCAAACTATGATTGTGAATTTGTCAATTTATCCTTTTATTTATGATAGATTATTGATATATTTTGAAGGTTTATTAGTATTTGTACATGTTTTTATAACTTCCATATTGGCTTGATGAATTTACTCTTTAGAAATTATTAAATGTCCCTTTTTAATTTTATAATACTCATTGAAGCTGTCATATGCTGGCTATTAGGCTATTTTTCTTTGCTTTTAATTTTATATATCTGTGTCTTAATCTTGAAAACAACATATGTTGGGATTTACATTTTTGTTTATGCTGACAATAACTGCCTTTTATTTCTTACATTTAATAATTTAATTTAATTATTCATGTAGTGGGGTTGAAGTACCCTTTGTCATTTTGTTCGTACTTAGCTCATCTGGTCTTGCTTCTCCCTTCCTTTTCCCCAAATAATCTGAGGTTAACTGAATATTCTTAGTATATTGTTTTCATTTTTCTGTTAGCATCTTCATGTCATATTTTTTAAGTTTTCCTAAGAATTCCTTGACTTATTATCATTGATAATAATGTTTCAGCATTTTCTATAAAGTGTGGTAAACTTGAAAAAAAAATTAATCACAGTTGAACTCTGCCTCCCACTACCCTGTCTTTCCAGATCCCTGCTGGATCTTTCCCATTTCCTTTACCCTCCCCCCCCATTCCACCCACCAAATTGTGCGAGCCTGTGATTTCTCCCCTGCCTGTCCTCACCTCTCTGCTCCCACCCTCCCTACCTTGGATCCTCATACATGTTTTACTAGTTATCTTTCTATTTCTACAATAATGGTCTTCTGCAGTAATTGTTCTTATGAGACTGAGTTAGTTTGCTCAGCATAATGCTCTCCCAAATTATATAATAATTTTTGAAATCTTTGCTCCTGAGTGCTGCATAGTATTCCATCATGTGAATGTACCACAATTTCTCAAACTGTTCAATTGTGGTTGAACATTTGGGCTGTTTCCATGTTCTTGCAATGGTGAATACTTTAAAAAAAATATTATTAATTTCGATGAAAATTTACAGAGACTGTGGATTTCCATTCCTTCATTGTT